GTTCTCTGGTTCGCTCTGCCCTCCCTCTGGGACCAGCACTGGCAAAGCCACTGATCTGAGGGGGGCCCTGAGCACCCCAAGGTTCTCGTGTCAGAGCCTGGACTCAGCACAGAGCCTGCACACGTCCTGGTGACTCAGGTCTTGCACGGGGTGGAGCCCCGGGGCAGGAATGCCAGTCTTCTAGGAACTGGAGAGAGGGAGGACGGGTGTGTGGGCAGCACAGCCCACTCGCCAGTACTTGGTCAGTATTGGCTGCACTGTCCAGAGTGCTGTGACCCTGCCCTCACCTGGGAGAGCAAGGCCATCATGCCCAGTGCTGGGAGGCGTCCGTCTGTCAGTCTAAGGGAAACCAAGGCCGCTCTCCATTCCTTTCGTTCTCCACTTGGGCCTCCACGCTCCGGAGGCTGCGGCTTTACAGACGCTCTGGATAGGTCACATGCAACAAGAAGTGAGGCTGGCAGGGCCCAAGGAGGCCACACCTGAAGAGAGCCCGGGACGGTGTCTGCTGGGCACTTGTGGTGGTCACCACTCCACTGCTCCTCTGGGCTCCTGGGCCCGGCTGGGCTGTGGAGGACTTGTGACTGGGCCATTCGGAGTGCACAGCGCGTGGACTCCAGGGAGCCCGTGGGAGGCCAGGGACGGAGCCAGAAGTTTTCATAGTTTCCAAATACTTGTTCACCTTTGACCTTGGCACATCAGGCTGACAGGAAGTGCTGCAGAGCGGGCGCCTTGGCGGGGGGTGAATGAAGCCTTTGAGAGACTCTCCGGCCGCTCTTCCCACGTTTGGCCTTGGCTCTTGTGGGGCCACCCTCAGCCCCCTGGAGGCTCACCCAGGTTTTCTCAGCTGGGCCCTCTGTGCTCAACTCGTCCACACAGAAACCCATGCCCAGTGCCCACTGCGTGCTCTGTGGTGCCGGGCTGTCACCTCTGCCCCGTTCCCAAGGGGTCTGTCTCTACAGGTCATCTCTTTCCCGCGCCTGCCCGGGCGCTGGGGTTGGATTTGGCAGGCTGCGTGGGGAAGGTGCCCATGGATTCCCTGCCCTCTTCTCTCCTCCTTCTCTGTTCTTACCCCAACTTTTTTCCTCAACCTGAGAATTTTCTAGAAGGGAAACCTCAGCATCTCACTGAGACCTCAGTGGGCAGCATGGCTGTGGGCAGGGTGTGGCTGTCCTGGGTGGGGACAGGGCTTGCGCACGGGGAGAAATGGATGACCTGTCTGGATTGGAATGAGCCCGTCTGAGGCCAGGCCTGGGCACCCCACCTGGAACACCTTCCTGACCATGGGATCTTTATTTCCTGGGCCCGATCTCCAAAAGAGGGGAGCGGAGGCCAAGTTGCCGAGGTGCCCGGAGGAGAAGCTGCTTACATGGGGCCCTGGGGGTGGGGTGGGCAGAGGAAGAGAGTCCTGCAGTGTGAACTGGAAATAAACTACAAAGTGGCAATTCGTGGGTCAGAGCTGTGCCAAGGAACCCCGCAGACTGAGTGACCGCACTGTCTTCCCCACTGGCCGGAGTGACCCCTCCACCAGATCCTTTGCTCCCTGGACCTGCAGGGGCACCTCCTGCCCCAGAGAACATTCTGTCCCCTGGGAGCCCCACCACAACTCAGGGCAATGGGTCAGGCAGGGCAGAGGGGGTGGCCTCTTACACGTGACATCCACACTGTCCCACGTGGAGCCTGACACCTACCAGCCCTCAGAGCCCTGCTCCTCCTTCACGTGGGACTCCTCGCTCCTGTGCAAGGCTGCACCTGTGCTGTGGTCCCACCCCCCTGGACAGGACCTGAGCAGCTCTACCCTCTCTAACCACTGTGCTTCCCCTCCCGCGGGTCTGCGGCCCTCTCTCCTGGGTCTTCCTGACGTGGCTCGGTGATCAGAGACAATGGGGGCTTCAGGCCCTCCAGCAGCAAGTGAGTGAGCCTCCTGGCCCCTTCCCCAGGGCACCTGGGCAGGACACTCGGTAGCTGAGCTCTGACGCCCACAGGGGCCCGTCTGCAGAGCTCGAGAGGCCACGGCTGCACGGTGGCTGGGAGAGTCCAGAGCGGGTCCTCACACTCCGCAGTCACCAGAACGCAGCCTGTTGCTTCTGATGGCCGTGGTTTCCCAGAGGACCTGTGGCTGCGAGTGAAACCTCCCCCACCATGATGCCGCACACGCCGTCTGCCAGAGGCCTGTGACTCATACACGTCCCCGTCCCCCACAGGTTCAGCTTCATCAGAAAGGAAATGCCATTAAAGAACAGGACATCCGCGCCTGATCTCATGTTGGGCTTTCTAAAAGTGATGTTGGGCCTCGAGGGGGGTGTTGAATGGATACCTCAGGATCTTCCTTGAGGAGTATGCATTTAAATGGCTTCTGTCCATTCAAAGAGACGTGCAGTGCTGTCACAGCTGTCACCAGAGACACAAGCTAGCTTGACACCATGGGAGGCAGTCGGGGATGGTCGACCAAAACTGCTGATGCGTTGATATTGACCCCGAAGCACCCGTGCTGTTAATCGGGTGGCCGGGCACATTGGCAGCAGAGCTGAGAGGTAAACCCAGGTCTGCTTGAATAGCCGCAGCTACAGACGGGGATTGAGAGAGCTCTGTGGACAGATGTGGGAAGATGTTCAGACAGGAAGGTAGAGGTGAAGGTGAGATACAGAACTGCAGGTAGAGGAAGGATAATCATTCATCTTTCTATCTGAAGGGACACAAAGACTAGCAAAGGCTGAGTACAGATGGTCAGTCATCAGGGTGACCAGGGAATTGCACCAGTGGGGGCCACCAGGGTGAGACTTCTTGTTGCTACATCTTTCGATTCCATCCTAAGACTTGGACAACGTGATGTATTGTCCACTAAGCAGAAAGATGCCCATTAAGCAGCACCTTCAGTGATCACAGTCACGCTGTCTCCCTTCTCCCGAGCATCTTTGGAGCCTGGCTCCAGTGCCAGCTCAACCCTGCTGTTCCCACGCTGCGGCCAACAGCGCAGTGTCTGCACATCTGCTGCAGCAGGCTTCCTGCAGCTCTGCACGATAGTTAGAAGGGAGCTGCCCTGAGATGCTCTTCCTGAGGGAAGCTCCCGTGTCTCAGGCACCCGGGTGAGGGACCCACGAGCATTGTCAATGAATGAGCAGTGTGGGGTCCCTCCTGGGAGCACTCACAGCAACACTGGGAGGCCTGGGACCCTGGGAGTGGCTGAGATCCCCCCTGGGAGGAACTGGGGTGCCTGAGGATCTATGGGAGCAAACATCAATCTCCAGGTGACCAAGAGATGCCATTCACCCCAGCCCCTTCCAGGGTCCTGCCTGTCCCATTCTAGCCCCAGGGGAATGGCCATTCTGGTGTCCAAGGGCAACGGCCTATGCTCTGTGCATACCCAGTCTACTCCATGTGTCCTGGGGCTTGGCCCTCTCCATGGTTTTTCACATAGACCTCTTCTGCCAGCTAATCGCGTTTCTCTTGTCTGCCACATACCTTGAACTTGCCATCGTCACCCGGGTATGACCCCGTCTTACCCTCACAGATCTGCAGTCCAAGGCGATGCTGTCCAGCCTGCGCTGCATCTGCTCGCAGCCCCCAGGGGGAGGCGAGGGAGAAAGTCAGGAGCAGTCCTGTTCTCAGCTGACCCAGGAGGGCGCTTCTGGGAAGCGTGTTTGTGCTGGTATTGCCCGAGTGTGGCTTGCACTAACTAGTTGGGCTCCCAAGCAACCCCCCGAGGCTGGCTGCGTGGCACGCATATTTCACAGGGAAAGGGAAGCTCAGAAAGGTTAAGTCTCTTGGCCACACAGATGATGAGTGGCCACACAAATCTTCCTCCACTTCAGAGGCTGACCCCAAACCAAGACTTGGTTTATGTGCAGCATTTGGTAACTCTTTTCAAAGGAAGTAGACTTCTGAGCCCATGCCTGAGTTTTGCTTTAATGTTGAAGAAAAAAGAACCCAAAATTGTCTTTAAACATCCAACTTTGTGAACCATGAAGGCACACGCTTGCAGGCCTGGCTGGGGCCTGTGAGGACTCTCTGCAGGAGCTCGGGGTCCTCCCAGGGGCCTTACGTAAACACGGGAAGGATGGCTCCCCCTCACCCACCTCCGCCTGCTAGGCAGCTCCAGTGGAGCCCACACCTGAAGCCCGGCCACCCCCATGTGGCCCTGGCTAGGCACAGACCCCAGGCCCGCCTCGTCCTGCTGACGCAGCACCTGCGCTGAGCGAGATGTCAGGCCAAGACACCGGCTCGCTTTCTGAGCTCTGTTCTCAGCCTTTGGTGTTGTGATTCACGCTCTCCTTGGGATCCTGGTGATGCAACAGGCTGGTGTGGTGAGTTGGCTGCTGTCATTGGTGGCGGGCAGTTTCCTTGCCAGGGCCCAGCCCAGACACCAGCCGTGGACACTCAGTGTTCTCCTTTGGTTAATTCTCGAGATGGGTTTAGATTTTACTTGCATTTTTTTTCTCTCAATCACTATTTAAAGAGGAAACTTAAGTATTTGGCAATAAAACCCTTGAGACAGGAAAACTGAAACTGGGTGCTTGCTGCCTTGTACCCGGGACTGGGTCCCCTTGAAGGCTGGCCTCAGCGGCTATGGGGTTGGGAGTGGCCACAGCAGAGGGGAACGATGCGGTGCCCTGGAGCCTCTGTAGGAGCCTGCACTCCTGCACTTACAAAGCTCCTGGGTAGGATACTTAGTCTGCTTTGCAGGTGCTGGTCAGCAGAAGGCCCAGCCAGGCCAGCACCATGGCAGCCAACGACCTGGGAGAGAAGGAAGGTCAAGGCTTGGTCAACACAGTGAGGGCAGGAGCCCAGGAATGCTGCCCTCACCTCATATGCCAGGCGGGGGGACCCCAGGGTTCCACCTCCTGGGCCTGAATATTGCATGGTCACCAGAGGGAGAGCCACCCGCCCTGGTCTGGGCGATGCCTCGAGAGGCTCTGGGTGGCTCCTCTTCCCCTTAAGAACTTCCAGACTCCCCAGGACCTGGAGGGTGGGCCAGGAACAGTCCCTGGAGGCCACAGGTCTCGGAGGTCCATTGGTGATGGCTGCCCACTTCTTGGGCACTGCTGGCCTCTGGCTGTTGGCCCTCTCAGGCCTGCCACCGAGGCCCAGCAGCTGCAGCAGAAAGGAGAGAGACGTGCAAGAACGAGAACACAGAGCTGTGGCCCGCGGCCTGGGTCTGTCTGCTGCTCAGACAGACCATCAAAATGTAGTGAACAGACACTTTTTTATAGGAATGGGGACGTCTAGAAGCTGGAGAAATATGGGAGACGGATGAGATGATGGATGGAAAGTAAAAAAGGCCACTTTCAAGAAACCTGAAATACCAAGGTGAGTATAAAATTAAGTCACATGACATTTATGCAATTGCTTCTTTTTAAAAAAAATATGAAACTGAGCTCTTATTTCCCTTCAAGGTTCTCAGAGGGCGATTTTAAACACAAAGCCGCTCTTGCGCTGTGGAGGGTCTCAGACAGCCTCCCCCGGGCTCCGTTCCCTGTCCCATGGACACGAAGTCCCGTCTCTGTGGTTCCTCACCTTCAGGCCTGAGAGACTTGAAAATCTGGAAGGCTACAGTCTTCTCCACAACGGAGACACGAGGACATGGGGTCGTGCTTCCAACTTCGGGAGGTGTCTGGAGCCCTGAGCTGCGGTCCTGGCCCTGGTGTGTGGCCCTGGCCTCCCCACGGCTTCCTGTGACTTCTCCTGCCCAGGGCTGGAGAGCTGTGCTATCATTTCACAATCAGCCATGTCCCCCCTGTTCCCAGGAATCAACAAGCTGAGCGAGGCCGCCTCCCCACACCCTGAAGAGGCTCTCCAAGGGGGCAGGCCCTCTTGGGTGGAGCCCAGGGTCCCCAGGGCTGCTGCCTGAGGCTCTTCTCCCCCAGCTCAGGCTGCGGGCACCTTGACTCCGCTGGGTTCCTCTGGTGGTGACAGTCCCGCAGGGCACAGACCGATGGCCTCTGCTTCTGTGCTGAGGGAATGGGTGGCAGAGGGAGGCAGCCCCCGTGACACACGGGCTCAGCTGGCAAGCAGCACCCACGCTCTATGTCCTGGAGTGCGCTGGTGCCCTCAGGGCCCTAGGTAGGGGACCTGGAGCAGGAAACCCTGGCGTCCCCCTCCTCACTGCAGCCCAGCCTCGGCGACTACTGGGGGACCTTGAAGTTCATGAGAGTGGAGGTGTGGGTCTGGTCCCCCAGGTGGAGCCCTAATGGGCCCCGGGGCCCAGAGTCCCTGGATTGCATCCCCCTGTGCCTGGGCCCACTCACTGCTCCCTGCTTCCTGGCCTCCAGGGTGTGGAGGGTGTCAAGTGTCCCCAGCGAGGACAGTCAGCCTTAGCTGAGATTGGACCAGGCTCAGCTGGGCTCGGGCAGAGGCAGCACCACCATGGGCGGAGAAGAGCTCGGGTCTGCTGGGGACGGGCCCAGGTGGGGGTCACTGTCCCCCCATGAGCCTCCGAGCCTTCCAGGGACAGGAAGCCCGGCCTGCTCTGTGCCCTGAGGCTCTTCTCCTCACCCCTGTGTGTACATGTCACCTGTGCCACGGCCCCCGTCTGGATCTGGGAAGTGACTGCCGCTCCCTGCGCCCCGTCTTTCCTTCCTTTTCCTTCCTCAGCAAGGACATTATTCAACCCAGTAACACCCGATTCAATAAGAAAGAGTAAGAATCAGTTGTCTCTGTATTAAAATGTTGTGTTAATTTAAAATAAATTTGTTCACATTGTTTTGAACATTGAAACCACACAAATTGATAAAGAGGCACAAACTGACTCTTCTAAATACATTATTTTGTTTAAAAATGTCTAACACACCCATCAATAATGTCCCCAACAGGAGATGCTCGCTCACTGGGGCGGGCGCCTCTGGAAGCAGTCCTTTCTCACCACCGCTCCACCAGTCTCGGGTCCACCCACAGGGACTTGGCCCACCCTGGGACTGCCTGAGCCAGCTTTTCTGTGCTCATCCGCCAGCCGAGAGGGCCTGGCCTCCCTGGCGTTCCTTGTGCGTCATGGTCATGGGCCGTTTGTGGCTGACACTGAACCTGAACACTAAGCTCTTGAAGATTTGAAGTTTGCAAAGCAACCTCAAAGGGATTAAGATCCCTGGCAGGGACATCATCATGTGCTCTCAGGAATGTGACCCAGGAGGAAGTGCCCCAGCCACAGGAGGCTAGCCTGATGTGTACAGAAAGAAATGCACACGCATAGAGCTGCTGTTCTCTTTCCATATGGAAGTTTCTGAAGTTCATTTTAACAATCGAGGCTCTTCACTAAAAAACCTCCTGACACGGGTCTTATAAATCCCATCATTAATGTGTCCTAAAAGACCAGGGTCACCTGATAAGACAGCAGGTTGACCAGCTATCACCACCCAGCTAAAGAGAGCCAGGTTTGGTGGAGAAGCCTGGTGGGGACCTGGTGGGGACAGCACATGCCACACCTGCAGATCAGCCGCTGAGCAGCAGACAGACCCAGGCCGAGGGGAAGCAGGCCTGGTCCCACAGAGACTGAACTTGTGGGTACACTCTAAATTCTCGCTCCCGTCAAAATCTCAGGAGGGGAAATTATTATTATTTGGCAGCAAAAGTCAAGGAGGAAAGGAAGGCCCAGAAAGGACGGCCCTCCTGGCTTGTGTCATCTGAGAAATGTTGTTTACATCTCCTCGGTTCAGCAGCAGACCATTAGCACCTCCAGAAATTCTTACGGTTGGATTCTTTGTGGAAAACACCAGGCACACACTTGCACTGGACAGACCACTCCTGTTCGCTGAGAACTTTTCCTCCCGAAGATCAAGGGGGTTTCTCAGCAGGGCCTGGGTGTGAGGGTCAGCTCTGCAGGGGTCAGAGGGATGGCCTGGGAAAGGGTCCAGCTTGGCCTGTGTGCAGGAACACCCAGGGTGTGAAGCAGAGTGGGAGGGAACTCAGGAGGAGCAGGGGCCCTGCTGCCCATGTTGCTGCTTCTAAATCTTTTAAGGGAAAAAAAAGTCAGAAATCTGGGAGTTTGAATAAAATTGTATAAAGCCTGGGTGAGCCAACGGGCCCTGGGGACAGAATTCCTAGCTTGTCCCAAGCCCAGTCCCCACGGGACAGACAGGCACCCCACAGCCTGAGCAGTGCCACTGGCCCTACAGGTGGGGCGGGAACCAGGTCGGAGTTTCTCAGGGGCCAGTCCCACGTCTTTCTGCATCATCAGGTGACAACTGCACTTGAATGGTGGCTCCCTGGTGGGGTGCCAGCGCTGGCCCTCCAGCCTCTGGGTCTGGGGATGGAACCACAGGCGTTGGGGCCAGAGCTGGCCACAGTGGGGAAAGGAGTGGCCCACACAGGGCAGTGTCCCCAGCCCCTCCCCGCTTATCTGAGGTGAGTCACCAGGCGCCTTGGGATTCCTTCAACATGACAGAGGAGACTGTTGCTGACAGGGGGAGAGGGCTGACCCCACTGCCCCTGATAAGGAGAGCCAGGGGACGTCTCACAGACATGCCTGGAATTCACTCTAGCACGTCCAGCTCTTAATGTGACCGGCAAGAATGTCTCCCGCCCCAGGCCCGGGAGGCGCCAGCACTGGGCGCCACCCAGGGCGGGAGGCAGCCTTGGGGGCGTACCAGGCTGGGGCGATCCCAGCCCGTCCTCCTCAGACCCTGCGACAGGACCTCAGCCTGTGGCACTTGTACAAGGAGAAGTTTGGACTTTGATCTCTGGGATCCAAGCCTGTAATCTCTGGAATCAGGTCCAGGCTGTCCCCGCCCTGTGACGGGCCATGTGACCGGCCCTGTGCAGATTGTTTACTACCTTGGCTTGCGTGTCCTCATCTGTGGGGCAGCCTGTCAGGCCCTGCCACCAAAGCTCTCTCACCCTGACAGTGGGGACGGGCAGAGCTGGAGACCCAGTGTCCCCTGGGACCCTGGTGTTCCACAGTGGAGGGCACAGTTCCTTAGCTAGGTAAGTGTAGAGTCTGTGAATCACGCTGTCACTGAGCATGAATAGCAGTGTCTGAGCTGGAGCAGCGTCATGGTCCATTCAAGGAAATGACCCACCTGCCCCAGAAGGAGGCACGTGCACAAACACTCCCAGCGCTCTTCAAACCCAGGCCTGCGGGGGATTCAGGACACTCAGCCCTGGATATTTGTGGTTTGGGGATTTCTGGATAGAGCTTGGGGACAAACGGCCTTTCTGTAGTGGCTGGTACTTCCTGGACTCTTTCTCCTGCAGATGTGGCTCAGTGTGGCTGCTGAGGGGCTGACGGGGTTTCTTCTACTGTCCGTGGGCCTGTGGTGGTTCAGAGGGCCTGGCCCAGGGAGCCCGTCCACAGGGCACATGCACTGATAGGGCAGGGCCTGCTCTACTGTACCACCTCCGTCCTCAGGGCGCCGGTCATGTGCAAGCCATCTGGCTGCCCAGCTGACTGCCACACCTTCAGCATCAGGGACTGGAGACTGGGGAGCAGGGTCCTGGAGGCAGAGGGGGAGGAAACTCATGCATGGCTCTCTGGCTTCAGTCATCTTGCTTCTCCCCACTTTTCTGGAAATAAGCCGCGACAGTCAGGGCTCAAGAAGCCAGAGCCCGTAGTAGTATTATAAGTGACATAGCATAGCGCAGGGAACTGGTTGTGCAGCAGTGGGGCAGGGCCAAAGTCCACAGGATGGGGGGGCCACACCTGGGCTGGAGCACCTGCCAGCAGGGGTTCTCCTCCAGCCAGGGGTTCTCAGCTGGGGAGCCTCAGCTCTCCCTGGAGGCTTTTCCAACTCTTAGGTCAGGCCCACGAGGTCGCAGAGCATAGTCTTCCGCACAGTAAACCTGAGGGTCTCGTCCACTCCGTGAGAGCTGGCCCCTCCCCACTTCCCTGAGCACACCAGCCCCCAAGGAAAGCCAACAGCAATCTAACCCTAACCCTAACGCAGCTGAACTCACACTCCTCCCTGCCAGGAGGTAGGCCTGGGAAGCTCTCTCTTCCCTTCCACGTCCCATAGCTTAAACCCCGACGGGCAGTTAGTGACCATGCGTTCATCCTGGTGGCTGATAGAAGGAGGGGGAGAGGGCAAAGCTAGGTTAACTGAGCTACAAGCACGTTCTCCACTAAAGCAGGAGCGCTCAGAGGATGGCGGTCTCCTCTCCGTAGCTGGTCACAGGGCCAGAGCTGCCGTCCTGGCTACAGCTTCACCAAGGTGTGACAGTGACATGCAGTGGGCTGCGCAGGGCTGGGCGGGAGGGTGGCGCTGGGCACTGGACCTGGGAGCTTGGCACGTGTGCTGTCATTGAGCTGCCCCCGGCAACTAAATGCATTTTTTACTTCCATATTTTCAACATAAGTGGCATCTGTGCCCTCTCTGTCATCTGCTCTGTGTCCCCTTTACCTGAGCCTGGTTTGCTTGCAGGGGTCTGGACCCTGGCTGGTGCCGAGTGGAGTCCAGCCTGGGGTCTCTGGCATGGCAGACGATCTCTCCTGCCCTGTGGCACAGCAGCCCGATTCTCCTCCAGCCAGGCTCAGCCACACAGCCACACAGTAGCTCCCTTCTTTGCCGCTGACTCAGAGGCATGGGGACCTGGGGGGCGGGGGACCTCGGCTCTCAGTTCAATGGGATCATTGTTGTGTCTTCTGGTAGAAGCACCCCGTCCCCCCCAGCCGTGGCCTCTGGTCCATCAGTGCCAAGGTCAGGGAACTGGGAAGCAAACATTTTGTTAGTGGGGCCCTAGGCGAGACCGTGAGACGAGCCCCTCCTCTCTCACTCGCAGGGTGAAGGAGGGAGGCTTCCCTGCCTCTGGCCTTTCCTTTTTAAAGCAGAAACAGATGGGATAACTGAAGATCAATGCATGCAGAACCACAGAAGGTGCCAGAAGTCCCTGGGTCTGCTTCTGCGGTCCTTCACGTAGACCGAGAAGAGCTCCCCGGGGCTCTCCCTGCAGCACACACGGTACCCGAATCTTTTCAGCCAAGTCCCTGTGTCCCAATCTCTATCTCGTCCACATAGGCGCTGACTCGTTCACCTGTTCCTGCATTAATTTGCTCATGGATTTATTCAACAAATGTTTACTAACATCCACGCCCAGAACAGGTACGGGGCTGCTCCTGTGAGCAAGGCATGTGATTTCTCTGTACTCCCAGACCTTGAAATTGAGTGTCTTTCAGAGCATATGCTGGTCCAGCACCCCACCTTCCTGAGCTGAGTTCTCGCAGGGAAATGGGGTGGGCTTTTCCTCACCAACATGTACCCGTATTCACATGCTGGCAAATTGGATGAGAGGTTAGCAATCAGCGATGGTGGAATAGCTCTCTGGAGGTCTGCTAGCCTCTCCTGACAGAACACGTTCCTGACAGGGACTTCGGGTTGGAAATGCAAGGCTTCCCAAGGCTTATCTAGACTCTTTGAGAACCAAAACGGTTTGTTTTTACTTGGAATGGAAAAATTAAAGAGAAGAGGTCCTCTGATCTTATCATAACTATGGAGGAAGCATTTGATGAACTTCATGATAAAAGATGTTTGGTAAACATGAACTAGAACTTCCTCAAGATGATAAAAAGAATCTATGAAAAACCCACCACTAACAACCTACTGAATTATGAAATCCTTTCTCCTGTTAGTGGGACCAAGGCTGTTTTCACCCATCCTTTCAACAATGCCTCAGAGGTTTTAGGTGGAAAATTAACAGTAAAAAGCCATAAAGATCAGAAGCAAGGTAGAGCTGCTATTATTCATGAAACCCTATAGAACATTAAAAAAGTTCTATAATAAATAAATTTAACAAAGTCACAGGACACAAAAAGAATAATAAAAATTAGTTGCATTTCTAAAAATTAGTGATGAAGAATTGTCTAAAAAAAAGTTAAAGGAAAAACACTAAAATCACATCAAAAACACTAAGAGCTTAGGAATAAATCCAGTGGGACACGGGCAAGCGCAGATGGGGAGAAAATGTCCACAGCACACGCAGTCACCAGGGGCTGGTGTCCAGTCCACAGCTCTCCTACCAAGCTACCAACAAGAAGGAAGCCCAGCTGGCCCTGTGGTGCACTCCCAGGGGCTTGGGAGGCTGAGGCAGGAGGATCACAAGTTCAAAGCCAGCCTCAGCAAAAAGAAACTCAGGGAGGTGCTAAGAAACTCAGGGAGACCCTGTCTCTAAATAAAACAAAAAGTAGGGCTGGGGAAGGGGCTCAGTGGCCGAGTGCCCCTGAGTTCAATCCCTGGTACAAAAAAGAAAATGACAGCCCAGTGCCAGAGGAGCAGAGACTTTGAAGCTCTTGGAAAGGAAGGAGGGTGTCCTGCATGGCACTGTGTGGGTGAGTACACGTGTGAAGACGCACTGACGTGAACATACAGTGAGCAGGAAAAGGAGCTCGGCTCCGCAGTCACCACAGAACCACGACCGAAGCCACAGTGAAGCGCCGTCCACACCCAGAGTGTGACCGCCCACCGTCGCCGTGGAACGGCCACTTCAGGGAGCGCTTGGCGGTTTCCATGTGAGCGGAACGTGCGTCCCCCAGGGCTGGGGGTGGTGCTGAGTGTGGAGTGGATGCTCTGCATGCACAAGGCCGGGGTTCCCTCCCGGCAGCCCAGGAGCCACAACCAAGCACACCTCTTTCCAGGGTGCACCATCTCACTCCCTCGGCAGGGAGATGAAAATAGACCCCCATCCCACGACTTGCACAGCATGAACGCTCCCTGGGCTGAACCCTGGCGGCTGGGGGCTTCCTGTCACATGAATTATTTCTACATTTGAAAAAATGGAAAGAAAAAAGAGAAAATGCGTCAGTGTTCAGCTTCTGTTTTCCTAGCGTTCTCTCCCGGTGGCGGCCTCTCCCACGTGGACACCTGGACCACGTGCACAGGCAGAGATTCTGACCAGCTTGTGTCCTCTGGCAGGTTTCTCTGAAGGCTCACTGTGGGCGGCCCTTCTCCGCGGGTTTCATGGAGACATTAAAGGGGGACCTGTGGATTCAGTGATCTGTGCTGGGCGGGGCCCTGCAGATGCTAGACAGGAAGACACCGCTCAGACCTCAGGGAACCTGGTGACCTGGACCAGACGGCTGGTCAGCGCTCTCCAGCTCTCTCATCACACATCACGGCCTTAATTTTTATATGATGCGAGTTCATTGCCGAAAAAAAAAATAAAAATACGAAAGCATGAGAAGAAAACAGTAGCTGCTGTGGGCGCTGCAGCCATGGGGTCCCCTCCTCTTGTACACATATCCTCCCTAAAAGTTGTGCTTACCGCATGCACGCTATGCCACTGTTCTGCACTCAATATGCACTGGAAAAAGTTCTCACAGGATTAAATGTCCCGTAATATGAAGATAATATGTTACTAAACAAAGTTTGCTTGTTGGAAAGTTTATTTCCATTTTGTCAGATCTTGTGTCTATATAGCTGCACCCCTTTTTTTTCCTGGCAAGAGATCTACCCAGGGTCAGGGGCAGGTGGGCTCTGAGAACACTCTGGGCACGGTGGGCAGGAGATCCCAAGAGGAGGTAAGATCTGGCGTGGAATATTCTACAGACCAGAAAAGGGGCAGCCCTGGGAGATGATAAGGGTATGGATGTGTGAAGACTGGGAAGAACCACCCAGGCAAGGAGGGGTGCAGGCGAAGGCTCTGCACCCCAGGAGCATGGTGGGGAGGCTGGATGGCAGGGGTGGGCAGGAGCCAAGGGCAAACCCTGGGCCCCTGGGGGGCAGCAGTGCCTGCAGGGGCGTGGGTGAGAGTTCAGAGGAGCCAGGGAGAGCCATGCAGCTCCCCTGGGCGGGAGCTCAGGACAGAAGTGGCTGTGGAGCCAGGAGTGGGAACAAACCCTCCCGCTGTGCCCTGGGGTGAGAGGACTGCGGACCCCGCCACGCCACGTTGGGTGCTGGGAGCTCCGCACAGGAGCTGGGCTGTGCCGCCTGCGCACTTCCCCGATCCCACTCTGAACTCAGGAAGGTAGTGAGTGACGGCTGCACCACCCTCCGCTTTTCCCTGGGCCAGAGACAGGATGAAGGAAAGGGAGCTTGGTGAGCACACGGCCAGTTTGCCCGTGTGGTGCTTGGTGACCGCTGGACAGCAGGGCACACTCCCTGAGCTGCTGTTCTATGGGGTCAGAGTGGGGTCTGCCTTTGACTGGACAACCCCAACCCCTCCTGGGAGCATGCACGAGGGGGTCAGGGAGGCCTGGGTCACTCTGCACCTGCTGCCCAGGACCAGAGGCCTAGTTCTTACTTCGGGCCACTTCTGTTTGTTCCAGGCACATCTGTGACTAGCACCACTTACAATCAGGCTCTTCCATCTCAAAGACTCGATAAGTGAATTCTAGAGGATTCCAGAGGAGGCCTGAGAGGAAGGAGGGAGACTGTAGAGCAGGGCTGGCTCTGTCCGGTCCTCGTCCGCTGGGCACATCCTAGAGTTTCTCTGAAGCTGCTGCTTCGTCTCAAGTGATATCCTATCAAGGTGTGAGGACTGGCCTGTGCTGTGTCCACGCTGTGCCTGGACACTGTGGCGCCTACCGTGGGTCCTGCTTTTTCACTGTCTGAGTAGGAGGCAGCACAGCAGGAGGACCGCGGGCTCTATGGGTCATCTGCTGTTACCAGTGCAGATGGCAGCCACAGTTCCGTGGTGTTTGATGCCTGCGAGGTTTGGTTTTGTTTTTTGCAGCCTCAAGATTGAACCCGGGTGCTTCACCACTGGGCTCAGCCCCAGCCCTTTTTATTCTTTATTTTGAGACAGGGCCTCACTAAGCTGCTGAGTCTGACCTCAAAGTTTCAGCCCTCCTGCCTCAGCCTGCACAGTCACTGGGATGACAAGGTGGCCCCTGTGCCCAGCTGCATGGCTTGGGTGTGAAGACCCTCCTCCTGGGGGGGGGGTGTCTTGGGGAAATTCTTTTGTCACCAGGAGCTCTTCTAGAAAGGGCTGCTCCTGAGAGGGTGGGCCTGGAGTAACTCCGAGCCTCTGCCCTGGGAAGCGGGGCAGCTCTTCACATTCCAGACATTCTTAGAGGGTACAGAGGAGGCGGGAAGAAAGGCTATTCCCAGTTCTCCGCCTCAGTGCCAACGATACCCCGTGGGCATGATCCTAGGCAGGCACAAGGGCAGGTGGCCTTGGGAGCCAAGGCAGGGCCCTGCTCCTGGAGGTGCCCACCCGGGGCTCGGGCTTCCAAGGCAGACTCCAGGAGCCGTCTCCCTCCATCCAGCCACACACTCAGCCCTGCTTTCTCAGGAGCGGACTCTTCCAGGTGAGGAAAACGGGCCTCCAAATGATCTGAGCTCCTGGGTTTGGAGTAAGGCATGTACGGTGTTTGTGTGACGTGGCGGGCAGGAGGGAAATGAAACCAGCCAGCGGGAGCCACCTTGCCAGGTGGAGCTGGCTCTGTGGGCAGGTGGCTGGCACTCCAGGGCCAGGTCTGTGGGGTGTGGTGGGGCCGCCCCGACAAACAGCCGGCAGGAAGACAGAGGCTCAGAGCCAGCAGGGGAGGCCCATGGGCTTTCTGAGCCCTTTGCGGTTACTGTCCTTCAGAACAGAGTCACAGCTGGCCCACGGGCTGGGGAGTGCTCCGTGGGCCAAGCTGGCCTCTGCTCCACTCCCCGAGTTCTTTCCTGATCCTGGAAGTTCACACTCTGTCCTCTGGGCTGCCCTCTCCTTTCTGTGAACGAGGACACAGTGTTCGCCTGTGTGGCCAGAACCTGTGTCAGACCCAGGGCCCTGGAGTGGCCTGTGAACTTGAGAGTAGTACCTCCCAGGGGCCACGCCCTGCTCGGCCCTGACCTGGGCCTGGAGGAGTCCTGGTCTTGCAGGCTGAGGCAGGAGGGTTGAAACTTTGAGGTCAGACTCAGCAGCTTAGTGAGGGGCTCCAGGAGTCGAGGGAGAGTGTGACGAAGGCCTGTGGGTGGGCACCCCAGCGTGGCTGCTGCTGCTGCTGAGCCTGGGCGGGGACACCTCTGAGAGCCGAGTCTGCCCTAGGCTCCAAGGCCCCTGCGAGACGTCTGACTGGCACTTTGTAGCTCAGGCCCCAGGAGAGACGCCTGCTGTCTTTTTACAGCTGGGGCTCCACCCAGATGGCAGCAGGGCCCAGCGCCCTGTCACACCCTTGGCATGGACGGGGTTTCATTCATGTGGGATCTGGAGCTGCAGCTGTGCCCCAGAGAGGAGGCCAGGAGGAGGGCCGCCTTCACATCCTGCAGGCTCACTGGGAAGCTCTTTGAAAATGAGCTGTAATTAAACCCACATCACTGTGGGGCATTGTGAGTTCAGGGCACTGTCCCCGGGCACTGAGAGGTCTGGCTTTGCTGCGGCTCATGGTATGGCTGTGAGTGAGGATTTAAATAGCCCTTTCCCTCCAGGATAATGCCACGTTACTCTCGGGAAGTTGCACAATGTCACATCAGAGTCCAGTGCACAGCTGAGTTCAAAAAGAGTACTAGGTTGAGTGTCAGTCTCTTAGGGACGGATGTAGACCATTGATGAAAATGAAACGTTGGGTCAGAAAACCCACACTTGTCCAAACACCGGGAGGCCGGCTGGCCTCCACAGGGCTCCAGAGGGAAGGTCAGGGAAGCTCAGTGTGTGAATCAGCGCTTCGTCCTTTTGAAGACTGTCCACTTTACAGTAACAGTGTCAAACCCAGGGGCAGGATTCAGCCAAATGCACTGGGAGGCTTCCTGTGTCACAGGAAGGCTTTCCAGCTCAGCCAGCAATCTGAAGACCCCACTGAGTAGGGGCCGTGAGCAGCAACCCCTGTGGACCTCTTCCAAGCTGGGCTTGCCCACCCAGCTGGGCCACTTGGGGGTCAGCACACAGGTGAGCCGGGAGAGACACAGTGGGCCAGGTGAGAGGTGCAGAGATGGTTCTCTGTGCCAGCGTGTGGGGATGAGTCAATGCATTGAGATGTGCTGGGACACAGAATTGACTGACTTGACCCCTGATTGGGTTAGGAATGAGGGGACAGGAGAGCTTTGTGTGTCTTCTAGTTCCTACAACAGGATGCTTAGGCGCAACGAACCTAATACAGAAGAGAAGATGGGATCTGGAACCGGATGAGTTTGTTTGCCCCCGTTGGATTGGAGTGATGTGGGATGGTAAGAGGTGAGAGGGTAGGAAGGTTTGCACATGGGCTTGAAGCTCAGTGAAGAGATCTGGGCTAGAGTACCACGTGAGGTTCAGCACCATTGGGAAGATAATTCTAGAAAGAGACCAGGGTGAGATGACAGGGCAGGGGGAGAGATCATGGCCCGAGGAGTCCCCGTGAGTGAGGGATGGCAGGAGAGTGCTCCTGGAGGAGGCCAGGAAACAGCGGCCAGAGGCAGTGGAGAACGTGGGACGGGGAGCCACCGAGCAGTAAGGAAGGGGACCCCGTCTGTCCACGTGGCAGCCCACGCTCACCCTCAGGAAGAGTGCAGCCAGGCCACAATGGCGGGCCGCTCTGGCTGCAGTGGATGAACAGGCCTGTGGAAACACTGACCCATGCCTGTTCAAGGACGTGATGGATTGTTCTAGAAAGTTTGATGAAGAAAAACTATGGACACTGAATAACATTGATGAAATGCAGTTGGTGGGTGATGGAGCTTGTGGGGAGGTAAGCGGGTGGGACACCAAGTGGTCCCAGGGAGCGGCGCGGTCTCTGGCAGGAGGGGCTGGGCATAGGGCAAGGGCGAGCACTCTGGAGCCGGCCTTCGGATCCCAGTTCCGCTTCCTGTGAGGCAGGGCGTTCAGTCACAGCACAGCGGTCAGCTCCCACTAGCTCAGGGAGGGGCGGCTCTGGGCTTCTGGAGCTGAGCACCAGGGGAAACTGGGGTTCAGGCCTGGGGCCGAGGTCGGCAGGGAGACCCCAAAGCCTCCTGCAGACTTGCTCCTCGTCGGGGAGACACAGCCACCCTGGGATCAGCTCAGGGGACCCCAAGCTCCTGACTCCCCAACACAAGGGCTCGCCAGGCCTTGCCCCCGGGTCCACAGTGGGATGTGGAGCCACGGTGGACAGCTGGACATGGGAGCAGGAGGACTCCTCGGTGGGGGCCATGAGCAAGTGGACGTCACACACTCGGTGGCGATATACCCCAGTGTCCCTGGACCTGAGTCTCTCTCCCTGAAGATGCAGGTGCCATCTGGCGCTATCCCCTTATCTGTCCCTTGAGATCTGGTCCACGGCTGGCACCACACAGGTTCTCAGCCCGTGATGGCTGTCGTGTTTGCAAGACTCTATGCTTTTGGAGCAGTTTAATGTTCACAGATGCCGCCGTCTGGCTGGGCACAAAATAACCGAGCCACCACAAAAGCCTTGTAGATTCCAACAGCAACTCTTTATTCCCGAACCCTCACCGGCACTCTACACGCACGTTCTGGGAAAATACACTCCCTCCACCGGGCTCTGCGTACCAAATACTCTCAGAACCCGGGAGAACTCCACGGGAACTCAAGGAGTGGGCGCCTGAGGCAGCAGGATATGCCCTATTCCCAGCAGGATCCACCCTAAACCTGGTGCCGCCCTAGTCCCTGAGCAGGGTCACCTTTCAAATCAAAATGCCCTGCGTCCTACTTGGCTATGGCTCTCAGCATACAGAAAAACATAAGACCCAGGACTTCCCATATACCTCTCACCTCCACGCACACAAAGCCCCCTCCTGCCATGACATGCCCACCAGACTGTCTCACTGTTACAAGTGATGAACCTACATGGACACACCATCACCCAGAGTCTGTACCTTAATTAGGGCTCACTCTTGGTGGGATGCATTCTATGGATTTGAACAAAAGTAAGGAGACATGCATCCATCACTTTAGTATCCTATGGTATTTTCACTATCTAAAAATCCCATCTTCCTGTCTGTTCATCCCTCCTGTTAGTCAGCTTTCTGTTACTGCAACAAAATACCGAAGGTAATCAACTTAGAAAAGACCAAAACATTACATTGGTTCATAGTTTTCCAGGCTTTAGTCCATATGGTATGGACCTTGTTTCCTTTGGCCTGTGGTGAGGCAGCCCGACACGTCCCCGTGGGAGTGTGTGGAGGAAAGCTGTTCACCTCCTGGCAGAAGTCAGAAAAGACCAGCCACCAATACCCCTGGTGACTTCCTCCCACCAGGCCCCGCCTCCTGAAGGTTTTACCACCTCCGGGGAGGGCCAAGTGCAGGAGCAAACCTGCTGCCTTTAGAGACATTCAGACCAAATCCAGCCCCTCCCTCCCCGGCCCCTGGCAACACTGGGCTTAGTGTGGCCCTGATTTTGCCTTTTTAGAATAGTGCACAGTTGGAGTCACGCAACCTGCCACTTTCCAGACGGGTTTCTTTCACGAGATGATCTGCGTGTGAGATTTCTCCTGTCCTCTCTGCCTTGAGAGCTGAGTGTGAAGCACTCTCCCGCCGCCGTTTTATTCACTCACTACTGAAGGACGACTTGGAGGTCCCCAATTTGGGGTGATTGTGAACAAGGCTGCAGTATGAACCCACGTGCAGGGTGTGTTGGTGTGTTTTCTGGTTTGGCCTGGCCACACGTTTGCACGCCCGTTGTGCAGAGGGGTGGGATCCTGTGGTAAGAGTCGGCGAGGGTTTGTAGGAGACCCCAGACTCCCCGGAGCACTGCGCTCTTCTGCACTCCCTCCAGCAGTGGGGAGAGCTGCTGCTCCTCACCCCCGCACGGGGTGGGCCGCGTCCCGTCTTGGCCGCTCTTACGTACGGGTGCAGCGGTGTCTCGCTGCTGTCCGACCTGCGTGTTCCTGATGATGTCCCACGTGAAGCGTCTTTCCAAACGCGCCCTTGCCACCTGTAGGTCTTCCGTGGCGAGGTCTGGGCCGTTCTCTGGTGGTTTTGGGTTCCCTTGTGGCGGTTTTAGGAGCTTTTTGGAGAGTTTGGACAAGGGTCCTGTATCAGACGCACCTTTCACCAATACCTCCCCTAGATGTGGCTTCCCCTTTGTTTCTCTTGACAGTGACTTTTACAGAGGAAAAAGGGTCTATTTGACGGAAGCCCAGCTTACCCACGCTTTCTTTTATGGATCACTCTTTGCTGTTGTACCTAGAGGTCGTCACCTAGGTTTTCTCCTCTGAGACTGTTACAGTTTTGCCTTTTACGTTTAGGTCTGTGACCCACTTTGAGTTAACTCTTTATGAAAGGTGTAAGAGCTGGTCTAAATTTACTTTTCCCTGTGTGGATGCCCAGTGTTCGGCACAAGCCCCGTGGTATTACCTTTGTTCCTCTGTCAACGTTCAGTTGCCTCTATTTTTGTGGGTCTGTTTCTATATTCTCTGGTGTTTCCATTGATCTTTTTGTCTATTCTTTTATCAATATCACAGTGTCTTGATTCCTGTAGTTTTATAGAAAGTCTTGAAGTTAATTTTAACTTTGTTCTTCTCCTTCAATATTGTGTTGGCTATTTGGGGTCTCCATATTAATTTAAGAATTCATTAGTCAATAACCACAAAATAATTTGCTGGGATTTTGATTGGGTTTGCATTGAATCTATAGATCAAGTTGGGAAGAACTGACATCTTGATAATATTGAGTCTTCCTATTCATGAACACGGAGCATCTATTTACTTCTTAGATTGTTTTCATGAGAACTTTGTAGTTTTCGTCATATTGACTTTTTGATTTATTCCTAAGGCATTTCATTCTGGGGCGGTGCTAATATAAAGGTTAATGGGTTTCTAATTTCAAGTACCATTTGCTCATTATTGGGACATGGGAAAGAGAATGGCTTGCAGATTTATCTAGGCTTCTGCAATCTTGCAATCATCCCTTAATCATTCCAGGAGGTTTTTTTGATCATTTTTTCCCCTAGGTTCCCTACATAGATGATCCCTTCATTTATGAACAAAGACAGTTTCACCTCCTCCCTGCTAGTCTGTGTGTCTCTTAAGTCTTTGTCTAGTTTGTTGCCTGAGCGGGGACTTCCTCCCAATGTTGACAAGCAGTGGTGAGAGGGCCCTCCCTGCCTTGTTCCCCACCTTTGGGGGAAAGGTTGGATTCGCTCACCTGTAAGTACCCTGATAGCTGCAGAGTTCTCGTGGATATTTTTTATTCAAGTTGAGGAAGCTCCTAGTTGACTGAGGGTAGCTCTTGTTTTTTGTAGCTAAGTGAAAGGGGATACGTGAGATCCTGTTCTGCATGGCTAAGGGGACACAGGTCAGAGAGAGGCCCTGGAGAGCAGGGAGCTCACCCTGGGGGATCTTCAGCTGCACTGGCAGGAAGGGCGCGGCCGGCTAGCCTAGATTTTGGAGCAGAACAGGCCCAGGCGCTTGGCTTTCCTAACCTCTTTGAAGAGCTTCCTCTCTAGTTACAGATGAAGGGTGGGGGCAGGCGCAGGGCAGCTATCCCACGCAGGGCCAGAGCAGGGGCAGCGGGGTGCGGGGTGAGCAGGCCGAGGGGCCCTGTGCTGTGGCTCTGAGCAGCACAGCTCCTGCCTGCAGAGCACATAGATTCTCTGCTGGACGTGTGAGCCGACTTTACAACCCAATTCAGGGGAAGTGTTTTCCAATGTTTTCTGTTTCTTTTCTCCTTTGAAGCAGGACAGGAGGAAGAGATAGGAACTGGAAGAAAGGGGTCTATTTCTGTCTCCTTATCTCCCTCCCCAGCCTCCTGGCATCCTGCTGCGGGCCTCCCAGGCACTCAGGGCCCAGCCTGTCTGGTCTGGCTCACTGACCTCATGAACCCCCTGAGTCCCCTGTGTCTAGCAGTTAGCATCACATCCCAGCTCTCTCAGCTCCGTCAGCGTGGGCTTAACACTTGAGTCTTACTTTTAACATGTTCTGAAAATGGCTATAAAAAATCATCTAAGCTCTGAGGACTTCTAAAGAGTGGACAGCATTTCGCCCTCAGCCTTCCTAACAGGACTAGACTCTTGGCTCAGTCTTAATCGGAATATCTGGGGTTTTGATAGTATTAAGGCCAGGCACGTAACACCCTGCCTTGTTAAGACTGGAAGGAGGTGTCCTGCAAATCCTCATTTCCTGAGCCAGGATTTCTTTTTTCTTTTGAACTCTAGGTAAATTCTAGCCAAGTGAACAGCTGAGAAATTGGGAACCCTTTGTTATTGTTTTAAGAGGAGGGCTTCCCTTGGTCAGGCACGGAGCTGGATTAATGAAACTGGCCCAGGGCAGCTTCTTCCTAATATATTTGCAAATGAGAAGAGAATTGGCAAGTGGGGATCCCATCACCCTGGGTTTTCTCCTACATTTTCTGTATAGACAGGGGGATCTTCAATGCTTGACCAACTTCCTCTCTGACTCAGTAACCTGCAGTGAAACAGGAGCCACGTCCACCCACTTCCTTTTGGATGGAAAAGGAGCCATGCAGCCCACAGCACAGGCTCTGGAGGCAGTGAAGCAGGGCAGACTCGCATTTTACCTGGCACAACTGGGCATTCCCTGGGGAGCGACACAGACGGGAAAGGACAGCTGGGCTCGCAGCAAAGTGCCATTCACATCACATTTAAACAATACAGGATGGAGCCCCGCTGCCTGGAGGAGTCCAGCAGGGAAGGGCGGAGCCTAGGAGCTGACTAGGGGCCCCAAGTCCCCTTGTGTGGCCTCAGCCTCTCCCAGGAGTGAGGACCGAGTGGGGCATTGCTTGTGAAAATCACACCACGGCCTGAAAACACTGCCCTAAGTCACTCTGAGCAAAGCAGGGATAAATGCGGGTCAGTTACCACGCTGAGGGACTTTTGTATTGGGCAATGGCTGAAGAAAATTGTAAGTAATAACAGAATGTGTTTACAGAGTTATTTGAATCAGTGTGGTACAGGTGCAAGAAAGATCAGGAGCCCAGTCTTACTCTCCTTAATAAGGGAGACTATGTATGATTTAATAAATGATATTGGAACGACCCTTTTTCTTTCTTTATTTGTTTATATTTAGTGGTGTTGGGATCACACTCAGTGCCTCACACATGCTAGGCAAGCGCTCTACCACTGAGCCACAACCCCAGCAGCCATTTTTCTTTATGTTGAAAAAAGTTAGATCCTGCCCACAGTATTTACAAAAATAATTTTCAGATTAATTAAAAAATTAAATGTTATCTAAAAACGTCTAGAATTAATACATAAAAATAAAGAAGATCATACTTTAGTTTTCAGGAGTACAAAAAGCCTGAAGCAAGACCCAAGAAGAGGAAAGAAAGTAAAGACTGATCAAGTTGACCATATAATATTTTTGTTTTTAAAAATTTCCTTAAAAAATGCTTACTGGGGTACAGAGAAAAGCACAGATCTGTGCCCTGCTTTGACTAGCAGCATGGCAGGCAAGTGACATTGTGTAACTTCCAGACCAGCCCCCTGTTTGGGATGCTCCCTCTTAGAAGCAGCTCTGGGAAATCATGGAGGACTGAGGCCCTGAGCTCCCAGCCGACAGCCAGTGCCAGCTTCCAGGAGGTGCGTACGCCATCTTGAATTTTCCAGCACGCTTGACCTCGGGACCGCAGACAAGGACCAGGGGAGTCGGTCCACAGAAAATGAAGATAATATCTTAATCTTTTAAACCACTGAGTAAGTTTTGGGGTGCTCTGTTATGCAACAACAGATTGTAGAAACATTCTTTCTCCATGGCCATGCGGAGTCACTTTTTCCATAAACCAGGGAACCCGTAGCTGGGTGCAGTGGCCATGCCTGCAATGCCAGCAACTTGGGGGGCTTATGCAGGGGGGTCTCGAGCTCCACGCCAACCTCAGCCACCTGGTGAGACTGTGGCTCAAAATGAACAATAAAAAGGACTGGAGATATGGCTCTGTGATAAAAGTACCTCTGGGTTTAATCCTCAATATCCATCCAAATAAATAAGTAAATAAACAAACCAAGCAGCACAGTTTCAGACCTGGTTCCGGTTCTTCTATCCCATTGGTCCATCTAACTATGCTTTCATTAGTTTCACAAAATTTGTTTACATCTTTGCATCTTGATAATATTAAGTTTTCTCTGTAGAATTCTTGCACATGTTTCATGAGCTTTATTCCTTTTGAGTTACCTGAATATACAATGTCATCTGCAAAAACCAAAGTTTTATTTCATACTGTTTGAACTTTACTCTTGTTTTTTGTTTTATAGAACTAGCAAGGCCCTGGAACACGGTGTTGATGGAAGTGGCAAAGTATCATCATACTTCCAGCCTCGGAAGGAAGGTCTTCAATATTTCACCATTTATGATGTTTGGATTAAGATTTTTTTCCTTGTTAATTCCTTTTATCAGATTATGGATATTCCTTTTTGTTTCTAATTTGCTAAGAATCTTTAAACAGTAATTTTAAAAATTTTTACTAAATCCTTTCTTGTATATTTTGATGATTCTATGACTTTTTTTCTATTAGTTAAATGACACTGATTGATTTCAGATGTTAAATCAACCTTGCCTTCCTGCTGTAAGTCTAATTTGGTTGCTATTATTTTTCTTTTTATATGTTGCTGTATTCAATTTTCTTTTATTTCTTTCTCTTTTCTTTCTCCTTTTGGATCTATGTTTGGAAGAGAGATTGGTGTACTATTTTCCTTTTTGTAAAATCCTTACTGGATTTTTAATGCAAAGGTTGTGCTAGCCTTGAAAGTCAAGTCCAGTACTTTTCTCTTTTTCTGTTCTTGAAAGAGTTATTGTAGGGGCTAGGGTTGTGGCTCAGCGGTAGAGCGCTCGCTTAGCAAGCGTGAGGCCCTGGGTTGGATCCTCAGCACCGCATAAAAATAAATAAATAAAATAAAGATATTGTATCCAACTACAATTAAAAAATATTTTTTGTTGTTTTAAAAAACAGTTATTGTAAGTTTAGTGTTATTTCTTTTTAATTTTTTTTTTGTGGACTTCACCTCTAAAGCCATCAGGGACTGAAGATTTCTTTGTGGAAATTTTAAAATTACAAATTCAGTTTCTTCAATAGACATTATGCACAAACCAGAAGTCTCTCTTCTTGGTATTTAACATAGACAAGAATAATCCCTTATGTATCCTGAATTGTGTTCAGGGATATTAATTGCTGCCTGGTTTTCTTTTCTTTTCTTGTTTGGTACTAGAGATTGAACTCAGGGGCACTTGACCACTGAGCCACATCCCCAGCCCTTTTTATATGTATTTTTTGACACAGGGTTTTGCAAAGTTGCTTATGACCTCCCTAAGTTGCTCAGGCTGGCTTTGAACTTGCAATTCTCCTGCCTCAGTCTTCTGAGTTGCATGAATTACAGGCATGAGCCATAGTGCCTAGCTAATTGGTGGACTTTTAAATTTTTGAATAATAATTTTTAAACAACAGGAAGGAATCTATATTTTTGTGAAATGGAACAAGCTGAACATATTTTAAAAAAATATTTTTTAATTGTAGTTAGACATAACATCTTTATTTTATTTATTTACTTTTATGTGGTGCTGAGAATTGAACCCAGGGCTTCACACATGCTAGGCGAGCACTTTGCCACTGAGCCACAACCCCAGCCCATGAACATACATTTTTTAAAAAATAAATATAACAATTCTCAGAACAAAGTATAGAATCAGGATCTACTTATAGTGCACAGCGATCAAAAAAACCAGCAGAATACTACTATTTATTTTTTGAACTTGTTGATGCACACACGTACACACATGTAGAAAAAGACTGTGCACACACACGCAGGCACACACACAGCAGGCACAGCAGTGGCCACCGGGGTGGGGCAGTGCAGTGGGCAGAGGGAGAAAGGCTGTCTACCACGTTGGGTTTTCCACTGACAAGAGCACGAAGCTGCCTGCAGCCGTGGAGTGAAATATCCCCTGCAGGTGCGGGGGACAGGTGTCCCCAGTCCTCTCCTCTGGGAGGGGCAGCCAGGGTCCAGCGATTGGCTGCTGTCCCTCATACAGATGAGGAAGCTGAGGCTGGAGAGGAGGCTCAGCTCTCGCATCTGCTCAGGTCACCCAGTGGCAGGATGGACACTGGACAGACAGAGCTGGTCTTCACAGTGTGTGTTTCCGGCCATCTCAGGCACCATGCATGCTGCCCGGGCTCGTTGGTGGGGCCGCCCAGGGACTGCAGGACGGAGCGTCTTCCAGGCAAGTTCTCAGTTGATGGACACAACCCTGCAGCTGGGGCTGGAGCTGAAGTCCAGACTCGCTGGCACTCGGTCATCGCTGGCACCCTCTAGTCGACATTGGACGGCTCAGAGCTGCTTCCCGGAGTCCCCTCCTTTAAAATACCCGGCCTCCTCTGCAGTGGTTTCAGAAGAGTCTCCCACACAGCAGCACGTGGGGGCTCCCACCTTCCCTGTGGATGCCACAGACCACTCAGCTTATTTTCTCTTCTCTTGCTTGCTCTTGGGAGCAGAAGCTCTCCAAAGGACCCCAGAGAAAGTTCCTTCAGAGCAAGAAACCCAGATCCTTTGTGGGAAGTCTGGGTATGTCAGGACAGATGGCCAGATTCCACAAGACAAGATAGGACTCCAGCTAAATTTAAATTTCACTGAAGAATTTTTTTTTTCAGTATGTGTCCTCATTGTTTCCACCTGGAATTGAAGTTGAACATGGTGGGCTGCGTTTTATCTGGTGGCCCGGAGGCAGGGCCTCGAAGGATGGCATCTACCTGTCTCTCTGTTCTCATAGGCTGCAGAACTCCTTTCCTGAGCCACGTTTCTTGTCCTGCAAGGGCTGCAGGCCAGGTTCGGGGGCCTGGTTTGGCCCTGACCTCCCACTGGGGCGGGAGGAGGAAGTCACGGGGTCCCCAGCAGATGATCTTGGGAGAAGTGGGCCAGCCCGACCCCAGCTCATGGAAGAGGGCTCTTGCATAAAGCACACCTGGAAGTGGGCTGTCCATGGCAGTGTGCTGCCCTCTGCCTCATGCCTACTGCCCAGTCTGTTTTCGTCTTTCTCCTCCCTGGTCCTAGGTGTGTAGCTTCTAGTCCTCCACTGCCTCGTGGTTGCAAAATGGCTGCTGCAACTATGATCATGTCTACATTCCATTTATTGAAACCTGCCCACGTTCAAACAGCTTTCTTGGAAGCCTCACCCAACCACATCCTACAGTTCACAGAGATCTTTCAGGATCTCTAGATTGGAATCATCCAGGCAGTAGGTAACATGTGGGATGGACCCATAACATGCATCTGATATTTTCCCCAAGGCCTTATTTAGTCTAAAGAAAATACCTTGTGTAAACCAGCAGTGTGTGGGCGTTAGTCCCCGGCTCCCAGTACTCCAGGATCCTGGGGGCTACAGACTCCAAGCCTGGAGGGAAACAGGCCTGGGGAGTGAGGGGAGGGCTCTAGGGGCTTCTTCCCGGTCCCCTCCTTTCCACCTACCCCACCCCGCCCTCCTCTAGCCGCTGTGGATTGGGCTTGGAGGACCCTCTGCCTTTTCTGCCCAGAGCAGCCGCAGGGGACTGTCTCCGTGGGGAACGGCTGCGGCCGTGTTCTTCTCTTGGGGGAAACCTTTCCAATGGTCGTTTACTTGTGTTCACTTATTTCCACATTAAGTACACCCCCTGCTCTCTGCCTGGGCCTCCATCCAGCAGGGCCGCGCCACAGGAACTGCCATCCTGCCGGCGGGCACACCTGGGCAGGGGCCTTCCTGCTTCTTGGTGGCCTCTGGGCCCAGGACGTCTCCCCCCGAGGGACTTAGGTCTCGGCATGGTGGTCCAGCGCCCGTGGTTTTTAACACATTCTCAATTTGTCTCTTCATCCCTGTAATTTCTCATTTTATTTTATTCTGTTTTCTCATTTCATCTTTTCTCAGTAATTCTGTATTTTTTACTCTAAGCTAAGTTTCAGAGACTTGGTTCCTGGGACGTGTCCTGCCTCCTGGGACGTGTCCTGCCTCCTGGGACGTGTCCTGCCTCCTGGGACATGTCTGCAGTAGGCGTGGCCCTGTCTCCTGTGAGCTCCACCAACTCCCTCCTCCTCCCTTTGAGTCCTTCCGCAGCTGTGCCTGTGAGCACTGCCCACCCTCCCGCCCCCCCCCCACTCCTGTCCTGGGCCCGGGTCTCCTTTAGATCCACATGCGGTTGGCAGATCTGTCCACCTGCTCCGGGGTGCACCCATCACCCCAGAGACTAGAACCCTGGCCCACTGGCCCCTGGGCCTCTGCTGCCACATTGGGACACACAGACAGACTCTGTCCACCAGGACAGGCTTCCTGAGCCCTGAGTCCAAGGCTTCACGGTCCCTCGCTGCCCACCCCTGAGAGCAAACTCTCCACGGGCAGCACTAGGTATGCAGAGAGCCAGGGGCCGAGTGGTGGCCAGCACCCAGGGGCTGCCCTGCGCCTCTGCCCAGGGCCCCCAGCACCCTCTGGTCCACGCCTGCCCTCCTGGCCACATCTGTGCTGTCAGACTTGACCCCAGCCCTCCCCACCCGCTCCGTGGGGTCTCCCTGGCCCTGACCACCCATCCCTGCTCCAGGGGGGTGGAGCTGGCATCCCCTCCCCCCACTGCCTGAGCCTCCAGCGCCCTCCACCTGCCCTGAGGGAGCCCCGCGTGGCGCCAGCCTGGCCCTGCTCTCCCTTGCACGCCCTCGTCCAGCCCTTCAGGGAACGCTGTCCTGGCTGCAGGCCCAGTGAGGCCCAAGCCGGACGCTCCTCCGCCCTGGACGCCCACCCGGCCTCCCCTTGTTCTTACCCTGTGTCGTCTGGGCTCCACCCCAGGGCCGGCCTCCCCCCAGTTAAAGCTGGACTCCCGCAGCTGCACCCAGCCCTTGTCCCTCCTGACCCTGACTCCGCCTGCACCTCCACCTCCACTGCTTTCTTGCTCCTTTCTTCTGAAGCCCGCGAGGGGAGGGTTCTTTCCCGTGCCAGGCAATAATGATGCACTGAATGAAGACACTCATGCAATCAGTACGTGAGCTGAGGGCTCCGAGTCCAGTCCCACATGCTGTGGCCGAGGCTGCTCTGGGACTGGGTCCCTCGCTGGACATGGAGATACCAGCCACACAGTCATGGTCATGGTCATCAGTGAAAGGAGAATGCACGTGCTCCTTAGGTACCAAGCTGGGGACACCCAGAGCCGCAGGGTCACAGAGACTGGGCGGTGGCTGGGCAGAGCTCCTTTCACACCCTGGCCTTCAGCCCCAAGACAGGACCCGACCCTCGAGCTTAACCCAGCAGGGCTCCCCGGTGCTGTGTCCATCCCTGAGGGGAGAGGACGTTCAGAGGGCCACGGGCCTGCTGGAGAGCCTGAGTGAAGCCCACCCCAGCCTGGCCCGGTCTCTGCAGCGGCAGGCCCACCCGCAGCAAGGACCAAGGAGTGGACAGTTCCCTGCATTCTTCCCTGCCCGCCCCCCAGCTTCTCTGAGTAGACAGTGAGTGGCCAGACTGGCATGCCATCGCTCACAGCATTCAG